AACTTAGGCTAACATTAATTTCATACACATTATGCTGACAGAATATCAACAGTATGGCTGCAGGGTGCATTTTTTTGCAAAAACAATCTGCTGTAAAATATAGTCAAATTGATGGTTGATAGCACTTTTTACATGATGAATTGATAATGTACTTGTTAATTTTTTGCTCAGTTACATGAATTGCATGAAATGGGATCCTTTTGTAAGTTTGAAAAAAACAGCCTAATTACAACAGTATGACTAAACGATGCTTTGTTATAACTATACCATTCCACTGTAATTACATAAAATTTTATGAGGTGTTACATGTGTTAGTGTAACTACATGCTGTAATAGGTATTATTTCCATAGTCCCAACAAAGTAACTATTTTTCATTTGTTGTTATTTCTGTTGTAATAAGAGCACTGTAAAATAAGGTGTTAACACATTGCATTCACTTAACCGTTTAAACTCCTTGGAACCACCGGTGGTTCAAAAACACACTTTGTCATAACTTTCATATTTCATAAGCAACATTCAAAAGGTGGGTGTCATATGAGAGCTGTAACTGTCTTCTTTCCAGTCAAATAGATAGGTAATGTAATTTTAAACCCCTATAATAAAAGAAGCTGAACTCACAATTTTTTTGTCTACTGAAAGTTGACCCATTTTTCCACAAATCTGGGCCATAAACTATAAACAGATGGCGTCTCTTCAGTGATCTGCTCTGTAAAAATTATTTTTATAAAATAATACAAAGAGCGTCTAAGATTTTTGGCTTTCAGCAGTAAATTGTAAGCATATAGCAATATATGTATGATCATAAAACACATGTTCTGTGAATTTGAGGGGAACTTTTACAAAAAATAAATAAATACATAAAATAAAAATTTACATTTATTTCATGCAGTTACTGAAAAATTTGCCTTACAATTTGGTCATGTGAATTCAAATGGACAAACCAAAATATACCCTGGAGAATACGAGGTTAAGACAGCACAACAGATGTTTAGGGTAAAAGAAAAAGTGGCATTAAAGGTGTTCATGTGTTTTCTACTGTTTTCTATGATGAAGACAGTGCGGAAGTCGAGTAGTCACTCCCATCTCTGTCATTTTCACACAGACTTTTTATCCCATGCGAATTGGCTGTAAACATTCCAGACATCCTGTGGTAATTTGGCGCTGTACAGAACTGTAAAATTAAGGTGTTTAAAATTACATAATCCTCATGTGAAAAGGTCACGAAGGGGTAAGTTGTTTGCCTGAAGACTGGAATTTGTGAACCTTTGTGTGGCCAAACACTTCCCCCTTTATTTATAGAAGAGCACAACAGAAATGTTTTGACCTCTAATGTCTTTACCACAGGTTCCTACATGGTTCAAAAATAGGAAACACAATTAGCTTTTGGAGGAGAGAGAATTTGAGCCGCTAGGGAGACGGCAGGGGTCTGGGTTTCGTAAGCAATTAGGGTCGGAAGGAGGTAGTAATAAAAAATACCAATCCTTTCCTGTTGAAGGGTGGAGAGAAGATGTTGTGTTAACCTTGGGATGTTTTAACCTCCACCTATGTCCATTCCCGATTCACACAGTAAGTCCTGGACAATCTATGAATGGACAAAAAAATATTGGAAAGCGGACACTGTAGCCCCTTATCTACCTTGTTCACACTGTCAACAAATTATCTGATGAAAAGATCAGTGATGTGGATAGGGTTGCAGTCAGGACCAGGCTGAGAGTTAGGTGTAGGTTTTGGGTTGAGACTATACTCAAAAAAAATCATTCTTTACTTAAATTTAATTGAAGTGTGGAAAAGATTTCCACGAAATTAAATTGCTCAAATCATTAGTTTGTAAAACTTGAGCAGAACCACACCCAGCAATAGAGAATATGGTAACATGCTCTTGCAGCTAACAATAATGAGACTAATATAATATATAATATAAACAAAATATAAAATGTAAGCATACTCCCAAGTGAATGTGTTACACCAACACAATTCTTGCAAATAAAAAATACCACAAGCAATGTAAAGATTGTGTTGATGTGACATATTTTAACTGTGTGCAACCACTTGATTTTAATTATGAACCATTTTAGTAAGAAAAACAAATGGAAGGACATGACCAGTATGCAAACAGATGGAGCCAGGAGCCAATACAATCTTGTATCCTGGGCCAGTCTCTCCAACTGAATTTCAATATGTTGACTCAACTCAAATATCTCATTTAAATAAATGAACTCACCAAAAATGTTCCCCTACCTCAACTCATAGTTGGGTAATGTTGGATATAGCCATATTTTAAGTACAACAGACTAAATGTATCTGGGTGTGTATCTCATGATGCCAGGTGGAAAAAACACAATTCATTATTTTGTTTAGCTTTGGCTGATTTAACACTTGGGATAATTATGTTCTTTCAAAGCTAATTCTTTCGGTAAATTTTAAAAATGGGTCTATCCAAGTAACCCCTTAAATGGCCAGAGCCCACCAGCACGCCCAAAGTTTTATTACACACTTCTATAACCTAAGAATAGCTCAGCCAGTTTGTACTGAACTTCCTGTAATTACTGAACAATAAGCCATATTATTACATGCTATTATATCAGGGTATTGACCTTGTATGTAATAAGCCTGGGATTTTAAGTGATTAAAATCAACTTGATTTGTTTTCTTAACACATACAAGAGTCAGCTGTAATTTTTTTGAGTGGTTAGATTTAGAGAAAATTAAGGTGAATTGATTAACCCCTTAAAACCCCAGGCGTATTACATACTAAGGCTTATTATTCAGGGACTTCAATGCAAACTAGCTGAGCTATTCTTAGGTTATAGACGTGTGTATTAAAACTTTGGGCCTGTTGGTGGGCCCTGGCCATTTAAATAGAGTGCACTGACCAAATAACCAATTCCAAAACAGAAGAGGAGAAAATGACACTCTGACAATAGCACCGTGTTTAACAAGATAGTTGCCAAACATGAAGGAACATAGCTGTCAAGAACTTCAGCGTGCATTGTTCAGATGTCAAAACTAACGTGTGAGCTTCTCTCACAGCGAGGAGGAGTTCCAACAGCCTTAAGTGGAAGTCACTTATGCTAAACAAAGGATATCCTTTAAGCAGAACAGCGGGGTCCATTTTGTGACGCCACAATTTATTAATTGGCGCCTTGTTTCTTTCTCCTTTTTTTTTCATTCCAACGTTTTTGGCATTTCTTGTGACAGGAAGCAAGTCAGCATGGGGAACAATCTTAATTGTTTTACATTCTGCACATGTAGTGCAGGTTATCAGTGCCAATGTCTCTCTCTGGACACGAGACAAGGAACTTCTTCCTTTTTATGAAGACAATGTGTCCTCTCAGTGGGCATATCCTGAATGAACTGCCAAAATTAAATGCTAGAGTGTTTCTTTTATTTCATTATTTGACTGCTTCATTGTTCGCAAAGTTAATTTATTTGAACGAAAGTCTCCATGTGAACATCTTCAACCATGTTATCTAACCTTTCTGGCAGTGTGGCTGAATGATAGCTCAACCTTGGCTCTAAGTGGATTGCTTTGGTTGGAGAGGGTTTTGTTTTAAGTAACACTTCCCACTGACGCAAAACAGTGACAATAGCTCTTGGTTGGCCAGAGTTATTTTAGGGCTTGTAAGAAAGGTGGGTCTTGTTCGAAAGTTGATTGATAACCCCCTACCTTGTTTATTAATTATACTGGTAGCATGCATCTGCCTCTCAGGGCATGGATGAGTCATTGTTTTCCTTTGTAAACACACTTATGTCCTCCATCCTTCCCATTCTGGGCTATGGAGAGGTTGGCAGACAAACAGAGGCATTTTTAAACTTTGTACAGGGGTGGACCGGCAATTTGGATTAGGAACGGACCCTTAAAGTGCGTCAAGAAACGTGTTGCAGCATTCCACTGACGTATGTAACTTTAGGGTTCTTGCCATACTTGTCAACATAACTAACAGACCACAGACTGTCAAACTATTTGATATGTACATTTCGCCAAAATCTCTGAGACATTAAATAACACTGCAGTAATTTCACTGCAAAAGATTTCATTTGGTTCTTTTATTGTCATTGATATTATCAACAGTATTATAATTAAACAATTACATACATGCAAAACATAAATGTGCCTCGTCTAATACACATGCATAAAGTCAGGGTATTTATGTCAAGTGGTGTAAATGACTTGACTTATATATTGGCTTATATTGCCTTGAATGAATGGTTCAGCAAACATTCAGATATACACAGTTTTCCTCTTAGCCCAGGTGTAGTTGATCAGCCAAGACATGTTCGGTGTCCAAATATTGCTTCTTTAGTTTAGCGCCGGAGCTACGAGGCTAATGTTGCTAACAAATACTGGAAGGCAATAGACACCCAAATCTTTTTCATGAAACTAGTCTTCATTAAGTTGCTCAGACTTGTCCATGTGGTTTAGGACACAGTATGACTTACTGTGGTCTATAAAAATGAAACAAACTGAAGCTGAAGCTGAATCCAGCACTTTTTAGCCATTTTAGGGTGTTGTGCTGAAATGTGACTGCCTGTAGCCACACATTACAGCCACAATTTTTGTTGTTTCTTTTTATAAACAACAGTTTATCTGGAATTTGTGAACCGAAGATATATGCTTAAAAAAAGAAAAACAAAAAATCTGAATGTAATCTAGTGTCCATGTGATGAATGATGTGCATGAATGTGAAGAGGAGCAAAAATGTGGCACAACATTGTGATCTAAAAGCGTTTGCCTTCATGGTGAACCACATTGACAAGTCTGCTTGACTTTAATGAAGACATGGGTGCAGTTTGAGCAGGTTCGGAGAGGTTTAGGGATGTGTTTACAGAAAGGTTTTGGGTGAATACTGACTTCTAATGTTTGTTTGCAACATTAGCCTCGTAGCTCCAGCACTTTAATGAAGCAAAATTTGGACTCCCGACACATGCTGGCTGATCGACTACATCTGGGGTAAGTGAAATAAAGTTTGATTTTTCTTCCTTTAAAGTGCTTATTTCATCCTTTATGTCACCCAAGTCCAAGTTAAGGGCCATGTTTCAACAATGTTAATATACTTCTGTAGATAATGCATTAGAATATGCTGGTTTAAAGTCATTATTTACAACCATTATTATACACACATTCCATATTTGGTCTTTGGCCTGGTCTCTGGTCTCATCCTGTTGTATACTGTTGAAGCTCTCGCAAGTGCTGAACTGTGAAAAAAAAAAAAGAATCAGTGAAGGAATTATAGTTGACTTATACCTGCACCCTGTTGTCTGCTGCAACTCAAAGCCCAGACTCATGTCAAGATTGAATCAGTCTTACCTATTGATACTTCACTTGACATTTTTCCTGCCCCAAATGGGAACGTTCCAGCTGGGTTAGATCCGGTAGTATCTGGTCTCTGCATGCCTTGCCCCGTAGCTAATCCCGTTCCAGGCAATCCCCCTGAACCCACAGGTGGTTTGGCATATGTGGTTGCTCCATAGCCAGTAGATGAACCAAGCCCTGTACCAAATGTGGAGCTGAAAGACCCCATTACATTTGACCCAGGACTACTGCCTCCATATCTATTTTGTGCAAATAACGTAGAGAATGAGCTGGATGCTCCACCAGGAAACTGAAATGAAAAAAAAATCGACTTGACTTGGCTGAAGATGCAGTTATAACATTGTCGCTATCGTAACTAAACCTTATATGTCAAAAAAAGTTTAAAGTTAGATTTAATGATATTTTCAGCATTTCTGAGAGTTCATATCTCACAAAATGTTCACACAGTGACAAGATCATCTGACATATTTAAATAGTGTTAAAATGGTGTTTGGCATTTAGACACAGAGAATATGATACTACAAAATCTGAAAAAACTGTGATAAAAATGCATATTTTTCACCCACCTTCCCACAATTGGTCAATGAAGTATTGAGGTCCTTGACTTTATCAGAAAGCATTTTAATTTCAATTTCTTTCACAGACATTTGATTATCTAGAAGTTTGTTCTGTCCTTTTAGTTTGGTGATGTCCAGCAGGAGCCGTTCTACCTCTTTGTCATAATTTTGCTGGGTTTGCTTGAGAACCCTCCTGTTCTCCTCCATGATGCCAGTGCGATTTTGCATGCACCAAGTAGCGTCTTCTTTTAGACGTTTGTTTTCTGTCATGCATTTGGCGTTGGCACCAATAGTAACTGTGACCTGGCTCCCCACTTTGTCCAGATATGCCTGCAGCTTGTTCTCCACCTCTGTGGAAAGGCTGCTGCAGTTTGCACGGATGTTCTCGAGTTGAATGCTTTGTTTATCGCATGATAGCTGGAAAGAGATGTGCTTGGAGAACAATTCATCAACCCTTTTGAGGAATTCCTTGGTGACATTAGGGATCCCTTCTAAGGAGTGGACAAAGTCCTCCTTACACTTCTTCTCATACATGGTGATGCGCTCCTCCAGGGAGCCTTTGTCCCGCCGCAGTTCAATTCCTTCCAACTGATACCTGATCCTGTCTTTCTGAGCGTTCTCTAACTCATGTTTTGTAATATACATTTGCTCGGTGAAGTTGGCCCTGAGTAATCTTTGCAATTCTTCGGCTTGACGAAGCCGATGTTCCAAATATTTGTCATTACCTAACAGAAAAAAGATGAAACATAAACAACAACTTAGCTAACACCAGGCCAAACTGTAGGTCCTCAGGGCCCCCCAGATTGTTCACATTTTTACCTTTATCCTTATGTGTTATAATTTGGGCTGGAGCAAAAAATGTGGACCATCTGGAGGCCCTGAGGAACAGGTTATGAACCACAACATATTAAAACTAGATAATCCGTAACTAGGTTCAAATTATTAATGTATTCAGTCTCAGCATATTTATGAAGACCATCAGATGTTTACCTGGTAGGGCACACGGCAGACGTGGTGAAATTGCAGCAGTTCTTTTCTCCAACTCATTTTGAGACTGCAGAATACAAAACACATACATTGCTAATCTTAATATCAGTAATTACATTGAACTTGCATGTTTCAGAAGACTGAATGGCATTTGTCAATAATAGAGAAACACCTATCAATGAAAATTATTACATTTCTCAATTTCAAAGAATCAACTGTTATTAAACACAATCAATTTGTCACAATATTATATTTTAAATGATAAGCAATAACGTGCAATGAGTCAGACTTTGAATCACATTAGAACTGAAGAATAAATACTAACTCTACATATGTAGCATTTGGTTACATTGTCAGTAAGCATTGTCAGCATTGTCATTCAATCTCTTTTGCAGCCAGTGGATTTTCCATTTCTGTGACAATCAATCAAGCTATTATTTAAGTTTTAGAGAAGTGATGACTATCAAAGGAGAAACTTTATAGTGAACTAACAAAGAATATTGGAGTGAGAAGTGATGTCTAATAAAAACAGTTCTTACTATTCTTCTTTGCAAGTTAGTGATGGCAGTAGCTGAAATGTTGGCCAGTCTGCGTAAGTTAGTCACGTCTTTCTCACTGAGCTTCTTTGCATGAAGAGTGATGTTTAGTTGCTGGGTCAGGTTCTTCTCCTTCGCTCGGAGAGCGACGTTTTCCAACGAGAGTTTGCTATAACTCTGTTCCAACTCCTGGATTCTCTTCTCCTCCACTGTCTGCTGTGGCTCTCCATAAATAAGGAACAGCACCAGACTAACGATGATGAGAGACTGGATTAGTGAGGAGAAAAATAAGATGATTCTCATGTAGTAACCACAGCTCCTCTCTTTTGATCTGTGCAGGTTCTTGGCTGCCAAGCCCATTTTGGCCTTTGAGTAGCCACTATTGTACATGGCTGCTGAAGAGTTGATAAACCAAGCTGAAAACGTCCAACAGTTCAATTACACTTGTTCAAAGCTGCGCTCCATATGCTTGAACTAGGGCGGGTGTAGGGCCCTTTATAGTAAGACATCTCCTCCCCCTTTTTCCTGGTCCTCCCTCTATGGTCTCCCTTTGATTTACTGTCGCATGCAAAAGTTTGGGGGCACCTGGTCATAAGACATGCTGTGTTGATTTTCTAAGTGAAAATAAGTGAACACATCCTGAACAGAGAAGACACTTCTGCACAATTTAAATGCATAATTCCTGTTTATTTGCTGAATGTAACACACTGGAAACATGGCTTGTGCAGACGTTATGGAACATTTGATGTGTTACAAGTATATTAGTATGTTATTAGTGTTACTATATGTTTTTCCAAATAAGTAGAACTCAAATAATTAGAAATTGTGCATTAAATTTGCAGAAAATTGCCATATTTAAGTGTGTTCTCTGTAGAGAATGTGTTAACTTATTTTCTCTTAAAAATATAAACAAAATGTGACTTGACCAACAGTGTTCAAACGTTTGGGATGTCTTTACACAGAAGATACTGATACAGATCCTAGTGTGCCTGTTTCTTTATGATTATATCAAAACTACTTCACAGGCTGACACTGCAGCGATATGGATTTGATAGACATTGTGAAACTTTTTTGGTCATTGGTCATTTGCTTATTGTGTAGATGTAGTATGACAAAAATAAAGCTCTCAAGGCTGCGTGTTACAATTTTATTTTGCATAGCATATCTGACGCAAATATAAGTATATATATATATATATATATATAAAAACACTGATTTTGCTCAGCTTTGCATCAGATATGCTATGCAAAATAGAATTGTAACACACACACAAGTAAAATAAAAAGTCATTAGTAAAGTAAAAAGCCTGGAGACGGGGTGTGTGGAGTCAATACAACTTAGATAATATAATTTTAATGGAATGTGGAACAAATATGTTCCCTGACTAAAGGTACTGAGATGTACGCTTGAGGGTACCACCCCAGTGACAAGAGGGGTACTGCCCTAGTGACAGTTTACTACCTTTTTTTCTGAGAGTGTAGGGTCTTATTCACAAAGCACCTCAGGAGTAGGAGTGCTGATCTAGAATCAATATTTGTGACAATGACCGTCATAAATACAGAGGACCCTCCTCCAAGATCATATATATTTGGTTGTGGCAGTCATAAATTAAATGTAAATTGCTAGTTAATCATTGCCAGATACATGTGTCAGCATAGAAGAATGCCTACAACCACTTTTAGAAGGAATTATTGAACTAAGGTTGCCAAATCTCTGGGTCTTCATATTGAAAATACATGCCAGGCCGTCATACACTGGTTATACTGTTGTAAGGATCTTCTGCTCAGTTTTATGTGTTTTTGACCCAACTTTCCTATTATGATCATCAAGTCCGTTACTCATCCACAGATGTAAATACTGTGACGCGGGACAATACAATGAAGAGTGCAACTTTCCGTTTTGTTGACTGCCGGCTCAGCGAGGATGAATTTTAATGACTGGTTTGTGACCTCACACATATCCAGACAACTTAGAGATCTGGCTCCTGTCTGGCAGAACGGATGTAAATCTCTGATGCCAGTAAGCTGAAAGGATGCGAATTTAAAAATAAACATCCTTTAGGTCCACTCACTTGCTAGAGAATGGTTTTTGCAGTCAGCATTTAATAAGGGAACGCCTTACTTGAAATCCTGTCTCAGACAAGATCATAGGTCCACGTGAGAGAAGGACATGCCGATTTTGCCACAGACCTAGACTGGGTCTCTCAGTTCACTCAAGGCCTTATAAATGGATTTATCTCTGTGAGGATGCTGAAAAGACTGGTTCAAACCTGAACATCACATGCACTGCATATTGTTGCATTTTCTCTGTTTCAACTCAGCTTATTTAACACATCAGTTTACTATCAGGGACTTCATAGATGGGTAAGGTGTGGTAGAACAGGGATAATAGAAAAATGTGCATGACATGCAAATATTTCTGGGCTAGGAATGAGAACTGGCTTTAATTATGAGATATGGGAGGATAACGCTAGTTTGCCTAATCTCTACTTGCACCATGCACAAATGCTACGCTCATGTAAAAAAGGTAGCAGTGATAAATACAGTTTTCAACACATGCTAGAGATGTATCATTCACAAATGCGTCGGCTTTTTGAGCTGGCTCTTCTGGGTGGACATTAGGAGCTGACTCACAAAGCCCATTTGAAGAACAGCTTTTTCCATCTGTCATCAAAGCAAAGCATTTCAAAAATCAGTACAACCACTATGATAAATCACCTGTCTAGTGTTTACTGTCATGTGTATTTTGTTCTGAATGTTTATTGTGTGATGTATTTATTGTATATGTTCTACACTGTCATGTATATGCACTATATGTGGTCCAATTGTGCAGGTAATGTGCTGCTGTTGTGTGTTGAATTACTGGGCCTAAAGAACAACCTTTCATTTCAATGTAATGTAAGTTATATTGAGAAATGACAATAAAGACCACTTGATTTGAGAGTTTAATTGCTGGATGCTGCCAGATGTTTTGCTTATTGTTATTGTTTTATTTATTATAATGCAGTTTTGAATGGTTCAACTGTGTTTATTGTGGGTGTTATTTAAATAAAATCCATTTAGTGCACTTGTGTATTCTGTTTTTACTCTGTTTAAGCACTTTTAATAACAAATTCAATTTAAAATATTGTTTTGTTAATTAGAAAGTAGAATAATGATTTTATTTTGTAGATATTGTTTTTGTGATGTCATGAAAATCAACACTTTTACTTATCTGCAGTATCTTCAGCTTCAGGCTAACATTCACACCAAAGTTAGGAGGAATGTTTTAGCTATGAATGAGGCACAAAACAGAACAGCCAATCAGAACAGAGCTCATTTACATATGTCAGTCTTAAAGGCACAGTAACAAGAACAGTCTGCCTCATTCTAAGCGATAAAGAGAGGTTAGAGAATGGCCATATAAAGATGGATTAGGACTAAAAAAATTAAACCACACAAATGTCAAAAGTGAACCTGTGAAGAAACAAGAAAAATGTATGATATTGGCCCTTTAAATAGCACAAGCATTTAATAATTGGTCATTTCACTGATTTGGGGGAAAAAAACACTGTCAATGCCACTGACTGAGGAACAGGGTTGAGATGTAACAGAATTCAAGTATTCGGATTATGTTTTCAGAATACAATAATTAAGTATCTGTACTCAGTCCAATTTACATTTTGTAACTGCAGTATTCAGAATACATACACTTTTTAATTTTTAGGAGAATACTTTTTCAACACCTACCCACCAAATTCAAAGAATATATACCACCTTTAAAAGAAACACCATCAATGTTTGTTTATTAACCATTTTAAAATCAGCACAGCGTGTAAAGACATACTCTAAAGGAGACTTCTTTACAAACACTGATGTTTCTGCCAAAGCCTGAGTACACTGATAAATCAACGTGATGATCAGATATTAATCTCAGTGTTACTGAACTCTGTTAAAGCCTGAGTAGACTGATAAATCAACGTGATGATCAGATATTAATCTCAGTGTTACTGAACTCTGTTAAAGCCTGAGTAGACTGATAAATCAACGTGATGATCAGATATTAATCTCAGTGTTACTGAACTCTGTTAAAGCCTGAGTAGACTGATAAATCAACGTGATGATCAGATATTAATCTCAGTGTTACTGAGCTCCTTTAAGGGAGTTTAGTGCACATGTTCACAAATGATAAGCTTAGCATACGTGCATGCGTTTTTGTGCAAATACTAACATCAGTAACTTCAAATTACAGAGCTTCCTACTTTATGGTCAATTCTGCAAGATTTTGTTGTTGGTATACGGCGAATAGTTGGCTTAGTTCGTAAGAGTCGGAAGGTAAGAGTTGCAGTGGAATGGAACAGGTGCTGAAATAATATTTTGCACATTTTTCCTGAAATATTAATAGTAGCATTATGAAATATTAATAGTAGCATTATGAAATATTAATAGTAGCATTATGAAGAAAACTGCAAAATAGTATCCTTGAGGAACAGTGTGAAATACTAACAATGAGGGTGTTGTAAACGGATTCTGAACATGTTAGCTACTTTTTTGATCATAGTAACGAAAAACGTCACTGAATACATTCAGGACAATGTATAATCACCAGTCACTACTTTTTCAAAGTGCTCTGCCCAGCCCTGCTGAGGAGCCGTCTGAGCTGACTCCCTGAAAAGCCGGAATTAACACCACTTACATGCTGTTTGGAACTGCAGTCCGCTTTGTTATCCCTTTCCTCTCAGTCTCTTCACTGTCTGGCCTCATCTCTGTTCACTCAACAGGCGGCGGTGTGGAGAGAAAACGCCACTGAACCACTGCGCACGAGAGAGAGAGTGCTGCAGAGCGCATGTGCAGTTACGTTTTGGAAAAAAGACGATAGTAGAAAACAAAGCGACTGCCTGCTGCCTTGAATCTAAGCTTGCTTAAAACCTTTTACATTTTATTTATCATTACCATAATTTCTCTTTCATATACGAAAACGTCGAGGCGGCCTTCAGCTTTTCGCTGTATTTTTTATTTACCCAGTATACTAAGTTGGACTCGCATTAAACGTAAGATGGCGACAGCAGACGACTCGCGATACTACAACGGTGAGTCAGAACAGTAGTTAGCTAATTTAACTCAGCACCAGCTACAGTCCAGATTCATCTACAGCTGGCTGGTGAAAATAACTTGGTAGCTAGTTTTGTTTGTATGTAACACCTGTTTTCCAGGTAACCGTGAGCTAAAGCGGACATATAACTTAGTTATCGATGTCCGCTCTCATTGTTAGCCTTAGCTAGATAGCCTAGCTAGCTAGCTCAGTGCTACTTAGCTGGCTAGCTAGTCATTAGCTGTGTATTGCTAACTGCTGGTTATCGATGGTGTTTAGACTCTTATCCAGCGAGTTAATATTAAGAATGATAAGCATATTTATAACACAATAACTAAGGAACCGCTTAACTACAACTACTGCGTGCTGCTGGACCGAAGTTGTTAGCTAGCTGGTTAGCTAACCTAGTTAGC